CGGCCCCAACCAAGAAGGCCCCGGTGCCCTCCGAGCCCTCCGAGGACCCCCCCAAGAGGCCAATATCTGTCAAAAACTGAAGGAAATGATTCGTCTCACTTTTTCGCCTCCGATGGGTTCTCGAGGCCTCAATACAAGACGGCATGTTTGAGCCTCCGATGGGGACGGCCCGAATAAGACCCCCCCCCCCCCCCCCCCCCTTTCTAAACAACGGGGGCCAAGACGGCCCCAAGAGGCCTCCCAGACCCCCCCAAAGAGCCCCAAGAGGGCCCCAAAGACCCTGCAATGATCCTGCAAAGACCCAGCAATGACCCTGCAAACACCCTGCAATATCCGACCTCCTTCCTCCCCTGCTCAGGGGGGTTACCCCCCCTGGGCAAGACTCATGGCAATTTTGAAACGCACGCGAGGTCAGGATACAAATCAGCGCAAGGGCTAAGACCAAGGATGCCCATCGGGATGCGATTCTAATCTGCGCAACATTGGCGTTGGATCGCAGACGCAGCAACCTGCGCCAGATACGCTTACCAAGGGGAACACCACGGCGCATATTGCACTGATTTCTGTTTTAAACTTCACTGCGCGGAGCTATGTGTGGCCCTTGTTTTCTGACCCAGGATGCTGCCCAACCAATTCTGGCGCTTCCAAAACGGCTGCGCGACCGCGTGCTTCCAGGCGTCCCTGATTAACCGACTCACCTGGCAATCGTTTCTGGATGGGCTGGTGGACTTACTTCTTTTTTTTTCGCAAGCGAACCAGGATGCCGGGCGCCGTCAAGAACTGCGGCTAACAAGCAACGGCCGCAATACCGCGGCAGGAGGGGAAGGAAAACAAGCGGAGGACGAGGCGAACGACGCAGAGGAAGAAGCGAAGAAAGGGCACACAGGAGGCGAGCTACGCTGCGGCTCAGGAAACGCGGTAGACCAGGAAGAGACACCGGTCGAGGTGCAACACCAAAATGGCGAAATTCGCGTTGTCCACAAGCTCGAGGAAGGCGACCACGGACATGGTCCTCTGCAACGCCAGCACCGAGGACAAAGCCCGATGCAGATGACGGCCGTGACGCAGCCGATGAGGACGTCGAACAAGGACACGCAGGCGCTCAACGGAGTAGGGTCCAGATCGCCAAACGCCGACAAGTGTCGGAGCGAGGAACGTGGAAGCGACGGCCGCGCCACCACGGGCGGGGGGACAGGGGGAAGGCAGCGACAGGGCGGCCCAGGGGCAGCAGGTGCGAGGAGCCGGTGAGAGGAAGCCAAACACCGGCGATCGAGTCGGCGAGAGCCAACGCATGGGGGCACGAGCAGGCCCTGGGGAAGGCGACGTGGGGGGGGTGTCCTTCTACCCCAGGCGGACAGAGGCGGCAGACTCAAGGCAAGCCGCGGGCCCGGGGGCCCAGGGCTATCCTCGAAATAGGGAAAGGCCAGCAGGCGAACCTCGGGCGCGACCAGGGTGGCCGCGACGAAAGGGAGGCCCGCGGAAGTGGAGGCTCGCGAACCCTCCGCACCAAACCCGCACCCCCACTGGGGCCACTGAACGCGGGCTGGACGGAGGACCTCCGTAAAGGTTGAGATTTGCCACGTGTTAACGGTATCCGTGTCTTCCACCGTGGAACAAGGCATCTTGAGCCAAAATGGCGACGGAGGAGGAGGAGCAGCAGCAGCAGGAGGAGGATGCGCAGCAGCTGCTCGACGGGATCCGGGAGGCGCGGCGGCCCCGAGTGGCAGGCGGGCCCTCTGCGCGAGAAGCTGCAGGCGGTAACTACTGCGAGGAGCATGGCCACCTGCACGTGGGGTCCTCGGCCGGGAGGAGGAGGAGGAGGAGGAGGAGGAGGAGGAGGGCGGCTGGACGACGTCGGGGACGCGCACGGGCTCTTGCTGCTGCGCCGGCAGCTCTCGCCCGAGGGCTCTCGGCCTCCCGGGAGAACAGAGTGGTCCCAGCCAACAGGCTGTGGGGGGGGCACGACGACGCTCGAGGGCCCAGCCCCGGCGCCGGGCCCCCCCCCCCGGGCCCCCCCCCCAGGCGGGACGGAGGGCTGCGCGCCCCCGCCGAACGACTCCGTCGGCGACCTGACTCGGGGGCCGCACATCAGCTCCTACCCAGACAAACAGTGACACATCAGCATGGCTTCCGGCCGCGCCTGGGCCCCTGGGTCGCAAATAGGTCAGTGCCAGGCAAACTCTGGCATCCCCTATCCCGGCGCGCCAGGGCGCGCGCCCCCGCGGGCGCAGTCATGGGCGATCCGCTTCAAGGCGACGCTCCTGGAGCGCACGGACCGAAGGGCCGAGAGACTCCCCGGTTGCCCTTCCCCCCCCGCCCTCGCCCGCCCCACCGAGGGCAGCCTCCCGATGCAGTCACAGACAGACGGCCAATCCGTGCCGCCCTCCGGGCCGCGGGCCCCTCGCTGGCCCTCCTCTGCCTGCCGCCCCCGCGCGGGGAGCCCGGCCGCGGCGACGAGCTCGGCCGCACGCTCGACTGCCACCGCGTCCGCCGAGAGCTGCCGACTCGCGGGTATACCCGCTCCCCCAGGGCGCGGAGAGGCAGCCCTTCGCGCGGAGATGCTCGCCGACCTCACCCCCCCCCTTTGGCTCCGCGCGCCCGCTCCCCGCGCCGGTCACGGGGGCCGGGGAAGAGAGCTTGCGCTTCGCCATGGCGCTAGCAGTGCCACTGTAGCTGCGAGGCCAGCCCCATGCGCCCCCGGGCCTTTGGGCCGCGCGGGCCGCGTCGAGCGGGGGGTCCCTCCGGCGGCGCCGCGGCGCTGCGGCCCTTGCCGTCGGCACGGCCCGCCGCGCGACGGCCCTCCGCGGGCCACTTCGCACTGGGGGGGCCCGCCGCGCTCCGGGCCGGCGCCGCATCTGCAGCGCCGGTGGCGGCGCAGGATCGCGGGCGTTCCAGGCCTGCGCCACGCCTTCGGCCACGCTGCCGCGCCAGCACGAGCGCTGGGTCTCGACGCGCCGTGCCTGCTCTGTTTCACCGTCCACGGGTGTTTTTCTGTGGCGCCTCCGTCGCAGCCACACCTCGAGTTGCAAAGCTTGCGTGTGAGCCGCCTGGAGCAAAAACCACGCCATCCTGCGCGTGTGTCCAGCTATGGACAAGCGCGTCTTTGGCACCCAAAAAATGGGTGCTTGCCGAGAGGTACGGCACATCAGCATCGTTACGTTGAGCATTGCCGTTGCCCGTCACACAAGTTTGTCGTCACGAAAACGTGTTCATGTTCACATGTCTATATCCCTTCCCAGGTTCGTGGGTCGATCATGTTGACAGAGTATGGTGTTTTCGCCTTTTCGGCTTGCCGACGCTCCAAGAGTGTCCAAAACGCACCCAAGATTGCCCCAAGACAGCCCAAGAGGCCTCCAAGAGGGCCCAAAAACTACCCGAGAGGGCCCCAGAACAGCCTAAGACGGCCTCCGAAGCGGCCCAAGAGGCCCCCAAGATGGCTCCAAGAGGGTGCCCAGACGGGGAACCCGAGCGGGCTTATCGAACCCTCGGCCCCGAGCCCTAGGAAGCCCCCGAGAGGCCCCCGAGAGGCTCCCGAGAGGCTCCCGAGAGGACCCGAAGTGGCTCCCAAGAGGCCCCAAAACTGCCCTCCAGAGGCCCCCGAGAGCGTTGTCAAGACACCGCAAGAAGAATCCCTGAGGGCTCTGCACCACGTCAGCGATGTCGTCATCACCGCCGCCGCCGCCGCCGTCGTCCCCCATGCAGAGTCGGCGGCACCAGCCGTAAGGCCTTCGCAATATAGATCCACGAATAAACCGTCTAAGACTTGAAACACATAGCGACTGAGGGGATACATAACTGCCCCTGTCACCTGGCAAAATATGTCCTAACATCTCCTCTTTGTGTTCATCCTCCTCCGTCTCTACCATCCCCCTCCTCGTTCCTCATATGTCCTCCCCGCTTCTCCTCCTCTTATCCCTGCTAGTATCCCATCATCACCACCGCAACCACCACAACCACCATCGCCATCATCGTGATCAGCGTCGTCAACATCATCACCAGCATCACCAGCATCACCATCACCATCACCATCATGGTCATCACCATCATCATCAGCATCATCAGCAGCAGCATCATCAGCATCGTCAACATCAGCATCATCATCCACATCATCAGCATCATCAGCATCAGCAGCAACACCACCAGCATCATCAACAGCAGCATCATCACCAGCATCAGCATCATCAGCAGCATCGACAACAGCATCATCATCATCAGCATCATCAACAGCATCAGCGTCGCCAGCATCAACATCATAATCAGCATCATCAGCAGCATCAGCATCATCACCGTCAGCAACATCATCAGCAGCATCATCATCATCATCATCATCATCATCGTCATCATCATCATCATCAGTATCATCCTCATCATCAACATCATCATCCTCATCATCAGCATCGTCACCATCATCATCAGCATCACCACCATGACCATCACCACCACCATCATCACCATCATCATCATCATCAGCATCAGCATCAGCATCATCATCGTCATCATCAGAAGCATCAGCATCATCAGCATCGTCATCATCATCATCATCAGCAGCATCGTCGTCCTGTTCATGACAATCACCCTCATCGCCATGTCCGCGCTGGCCAAACTGCTGGCGGGAGCAAGAGAAGAACAAAAGGGTGCCGCAAAAGAGGAAGAAGGAAGCGTAGAGGAATGGGCTCCACACCCCTGCTCCAGCCAATAGCGGAAGATGGGGACCAGAGGCCGACGCCGAGCGCGGAGCGAGTGTTCCGCTCCGGCGACCCAGCACGCCGATGCTGGCTCGAAAACTGCTGCGCGTCATACTGAGGCAGAGCGAGAGCGCAAGAGCAGTTGGCATCCGAGCGTTCGGGGGCAGCCGCGGGAGGCGACGGGACAGAATTGGCATCAGAGCTGCAGAAGAGGATGAGCGGCGAGCTCCCGAGGTCCAGAGTGTGTGGAAACGTGGCCCAGATGGAGGCAAGAGAACTGGAGAAACTCAGAGACGAGCACCCCCATTCATTGTCCTCGTGCGGCAGACCGCCCACCCACAGCTTCAGGGACGGGCTGGTCTGGTTCAGCGCGCTGGAGTTGCCCCACAGGCTCAGCGCATCTGGCTTACCCTTGGCCTCCGCAAGCCGGCAGCCCCTCTTGCACCCCATGTCCATCATCGTCGTCGTCCCACTCCTCCTCCTGCCCCTCCTCGCCCTCTTCCCTCAAGATGTTATCGTCACCGTCCTCGGTCCCCTCGTCCTGCCCACACTGGTGGTTGCGTCGGGTAGGGGAGACGGCTAACGCTAAAACGACCATCAGTTCAAGACTGCTCGCCCCTCGCTGCTCGCGTGTAATGCAACATGTGCAAACATGTGCACCCCTAACCATCTCCATCTTCGATCGTACCCCCTCCATCTTCGATCGTACCCCCTTCATCTCGATCTTCGATCGTACCCCCACAGGGGGTACGGTCGAAGGTGGAGATGTTGGGGTTCGATCGCCATACCCGCCATCTCCATCTTCGATCGTACCCCCTGTGGGGGTATACCTTCATTGCCTGCCACGTGTATTGGCGCGGTCCCTACAAATTCGGGCGGGGGTATTGCGGCGACTTTCGCAAATCACGAATTTGCCAGCGTGGACCCCGAACAGTGTGTTTATAGCATTCGATGTGGTGCAGTCTATGTTGCGCGGTATATGTGGTGCAAAATATGTGGCGCAAAATATGGTGTGCAGTCTATTTGGTGCAATCTAGGTGGTGCGAAATCTGTTGTGCAACCTCTGTGTGCAACCGATGTGGAGCAATCTATGTAAAACAATATACGTCGTGCAATATGTAAAGTGCATTATACGTTGTTTAACCGATGTTCTAGGTGGGGCACTATATGTGGTGCGATCTGCATTGTGTAATATATGTGGTGCATCCTATGGTGTGCAATCCACTCTGCTGAACTTGAAGTCGTCATCTCCACTGCTCGCGCAAACATCCCACCCACCCACCCGCAACTTGGTTTGCAAAACCTCTTAAGACCGACTACGACGACACCGACAACAACGACTAGGACGACACCGACGACGTCTCCGACGACTTCGACGACGACAACGACGCCGACGCCGACGCCGACGAAGACGACGACGTCGACGCCAACGAAGGCGACGACGAGGGAGGAGGAAGGACGACGACGGCGACAACGACGACAATGACGACAACGACGAGGGAGGAGGGAGGACGGCGACGACGCGAACGACGACGAAGGAGGAAGGACGGCGACGCCGACGACGACAACGACGAGGGAGGAGGGAAGACGACGACGACAACGACGACGACGACGACGCGCGACGAAATAGGAGGGACGACGACGAGACGCCGACGACGGACGACGACGACGACGTGGGAGGAGGAGGAAGGACGACCACGGCGACAACGACGACGGAAACGACCACGACGCCAAAGAGGACGACGACGACGAACACGAGAAAAGACAGAGGACGACGTAGGCGACGACGACGACGACGACGCGGGAGGAGGGAGGACGGCGACGACGACGACGACGACGACGCAAGAGCGCGCGCGCACGCTTTTGTTGAAAATCAGTGTTGCGAAACCTTGGGTGTTGGTGAGTTTTTTGGACGCACGATTTTGAAATCCTTCCGAAACCCAAGATTTTGAAGGTTTTCGGCATACGCCCGCGACGACGCGCGCGTCTGCACTTCGTCCCATTGTTTGCAGAGGATTCTCTCGACGGCACACGCGCAAGGGCGTTCGACAGATTTCGACATGCGCGCGCGAAGCCCGTTTGGTAGCATTTTGTGAAAATCTTGAAATACCTATGATGTTCTTAAGATTTCGCAAGAGCTCGCGCGGAAGTTTGTTTAGCAAAACAATGTTGCGAAACCATGTGTTTTTGTATGTTTTTGTTGGAAACTCGATTGCGAAATCCTTCCAGCACCGAATGTTTTTGAAGGATTTCGGCATGCGCGCGCGACGACGCGCGCGTGTGCACTTCGTCCAATCTTTTGCCAGGGATTCGCGGAAAAGTGTTATGTTAGAACAAAAAATGTCACCGCATAGTGTTTTTTCACAAGGGAACCTCAGGGGGGGGAAACCGGTTTGGCTGGGATGGTATGATTTCATATTTAGGATGGACGAGTGTGCAGAATATATGTATACTAGAACCACGCGCGCGCTTCGCGCGCGCTTAGGTTCTAGCTAGGAGGCGAGCTTGAGTCAACGAAAGTCGCAGGGAAGGGGGCAGGGGGAAGAAGGCCAGAGAGCGCTGAAGGATACAAATACTGGAACCCTCTTGTGATTTTGTGGGGGCCTCGTCCGGCCGCTCGCTGGGAGTTTGACGTAGCTTCTCGGGAGCCTCTGAACCTGTCGGGGGCCTCCTGGAAGCAGGTTCGAAGCATTTTGGGGGCCGATTTGGGGCTTCTCGGGGCCTCCTTTGGGCCTCTTGGGGGTCTCCTGGGGCCTCTTGAGGGGCCTCCTTGGGGCCTCCTGGCGGCCTCTTGGGGCGGAAGGCTCGAGCTTGCGGTTCGTGGTCCCCCTCTGGGCCCCCTCTTGGGCCCGTCTTGGGGCCCTCTTGGGCCATCTTGGGCGCCTCTTGGGCCGTCTTGGGGCCCTCTTGGGCTGTCCTGGGGCCCTCTTGGAAGCTTCTTGGGCCGTCTTGGGGCGGTCTTGGAGGCCTCTTGGGCCGTCTTGGACGCGGTGAAAGCCCAAGATGCAAACATGCGAAAAATATACGTTTTCCCATAGGAATGGCACGATTTGTGTTTCTTGGACCTCTCTTGGGGTGCCTCTCGGAACGTCTTGGGCTGATTTTGGAAGCCTTTTGGCGCCTCTGGGCGGCGTTTTGGCGCCTCCTGGGATATGTTGGGCCGGAAGCTCGGAATTCGAGAGTGGCTTTCTCCTTCTGGGACCCCTCTCGAAGTCGTCTTGGGGTTCTCTTGGGCCGTCTTGGGGCCGTCCTGAGCCACTCGTGCGCAGCCTTGGAGCGCTCCCGGAGGCCTCCTAGGCCGTCTTGGAGGCCTCTTGGGCCGTCTTGGACGCGGTGAAAGCCCAAGATGCGAACATGCGAAAAATATACGTTTTCCCATAGGAATGGCACGATTTTTGTTTCTTGGACCTCTCTTGGGGTGCCTCTCGGAACGTCTTGGGGTGCTTTTGGGAGCCTTTTGGCGCCTCTTGGCGGCATTTTGGCGCCTCCTGGACCTCTTGGGCCGGAAGCTCGGAATTCGAGGTTGGCTTTCTCCGTCTGGGACCCCTCTCGAACTCGTCTTGGGGCTCTCTTCGGCCGTCTTGGGGCCGTCCTGGGCACTCGTGCGCAGCCTTGGAGCGCTCCCGGAGGCCTCGTAGACCGTCTTGGGCGCCTCTTGGGCCGTCTTGGACGCGGTGAAAGCCCAAGAGGCGAACATGCGAAAAATATACGTTTTCCCATAGGAATGGCACGATTTTTGCTTCTTGGGCCTCTCTTGGGCTGCCTCTCGGAGCGTCTTGGAGGCTTCTGGGACCTTCTTGGTGTCATGACAGGCGTCTTGGAAGGCATCTGGAGCCATCGGAGCGCGTTCCGAAGCCGCCTGCGAACGATCTTGGACGGCGTCCGGCAAGCCCCGACGAGCCTCCGGGCCCCCCGGGGCGCACATTTGTGGTCGGGGTCCCGGCCCCGGGCCCCCGGACCCGGTGCGCCGTTATATGTATATCTAAAGGAGAAGAAGAAGAAGAAAAAAAAAAAAAAAAAAAAAAATCCGGGGGGGTAGAGTCTATTCTCTTTTAGGAAGGAGAATCTAGGTGGAGAAATATACAAGGTGGTGCATTCTATAGTGTGCACTACATGTGGTGCAATCTGCGTGTTGCAATCTATGGCGTGCACTGCTTGCACTTAGGGTATATGACTCTTTTTTGATGTTCTAAGGAAGGAGGCCTGAGTGACGGTCTGACGGGTATTTTTGTCGCCGTCGCTGCCCCGTCGCCGCCTCGTTGCCGCCCGTCGTCTGGGCCCCAGTGACGGGTCCGCCGCCATGGTGTCGCCGTCGCCGCCCCGTCGCCGCCCCAATTGCACAACGTACAACGCACCGCGTATATTCTCCTGTCTAACAGAATATGGCGATATACAGGGCAGTTTTTAACACATAGGATTTTTGAAAATATAGGATGCTTAATACATGATTAATGTATGAATAAACTGATGCATGAACTCATCGTTATTTTTAATACAGAATCCCTTCATTTGTAATACATGATCCGCACGAGGAGCATGTATGAAAAACGGCACTGTACCCCCCCGGAGTTAGCGCCCCACCTTTTCGTTTTGCAACTTAGCTGCGAGCTTGCCCTACCATCCATCCTGAATATGGGTTCGTATCATCCCAGGCAGACGCGTACCGACAGTCCCCCGGATCCTCTGCAAAACACACTATGCGCGCAGACTCTTTTCTCGAAAGTCACCCATTTTCTAAATCCCATTTGCAAAAACAATGGGACGAGATGCTCACGCGCGCGTCGTCGCGCGCGCATGCCGAAATCCTTCAAAAACGAATGGTTTCGTAGGGATTTCAAAATCGAGTGTCCCGGGAAAGGGCGGGACCCAGGGTTTTCTTGTAGAAGCTTTTACCCCCGGCCTCGATTTATTAAAGGAAACCGGCGAATATATTCTGCGATAAAAATCAGGGTCGAAGAGGGCCGGCGAATCAAAAAGTTGAGGATGTCCGGAGCGAAACGCTGGATTTTGAAATTGCGATCGATAAGAATCATGGTAAAGTACACTTCGTTTGTTGCAGATGTCTCGAGCGAAACGCCTGTTTTGTCTTCTTGATTGTTTCTTTCCTGTGGACAAGAATTCAGAGGATGTCTCAGGTGAAATGCTTGTTTTCGCGTGCCCTGGTCTTGAGGATATCTCGAGCAAAACGCTTGGTTTCACGCGTCCAGGTTACCCAGGCAGATGTCTAACTTGAGGATTTGATGAGGACGTCTCGTACAAGACGCCTGTTTTCACGCGTCCATGTCGCCCAGGCAGATGTCTAGCATGGGAATTCAATGAGGCGTTTTCCAGCGAGATGCTTGCTTTCACGTGTCCATGTCGCCCACGCGGATGTTTAGCATGAGGATGTGTTAAGAACGTCTCGGGCGAAGCGTTTG